ACACTGGCTTAAATTGCATCCTCCTTAGAGACTATTTTCTTCTACAAAAATTCATCATTGTCATTAAAATTCCAATTAAAATGCTTCTACCCTTAAACAAAGACTGATGATGTCTTCGGGGAGAAAAAAACTCCAGCAACTCCAATGATGGACTGGCACTTCCTGCTGTCACAGAACACTCACTCCCAGGAGAACCTGGGACCGTGGCTCCAGCGCTTCCCTGGATCAGGAAGCTGCTGTAGGGAGCACCCTAAACCCCCCAACAGGAGGCCGTTCCAAAGACTCATGGAGGAAACCATCTAAGACACCGTGGCAACTGGTCTTGTATCCCAGCAGAACTGCTGAGTGGTGACATCCTGGTCAGATTGGGGCTGGGGAGCGGCAGGGGAGATAAAGAGGAGGAGGAGGCGGGAGGGACAGAGAGGAAGACAGCACGCTGAGCGGTGTGGGACAGAGGCTGCTGCCAGGTTGGCCAAGGAGCAGAGGGGAGGCACTGGTCCTCCAGCTGGTGCCCAGCACAGGTGAGATTTTAAAGGCCACGCTGGCTCCCCTAGACCTGATCCCACCCCACCTGACAACGGTCGGACCCTCACAAGGTCTGTGGGTGCCCTGGTCTGGGGAGTTTCCTGAGCTATGAGCCTTGCTGTGGGAGCGGAAGGGGCCCAGTTCCCGTGGCACCTGCCGCCCACTCTCTGTGCCAGCTTCCTGGGTCCTGGCATCCTCGGGACTGCGGAGAACCCGAGGAAATGACACACGGCCACTAGGTAGGCCTGTCCCTACCTAACTGAAATGGAATGCTTCAATCCTGAGATTGCTCATCCATTTTTCTCTGACCCCAGTCAGTTGCTGAGTATCTGTCGTCCTCGGTGAATTGACCAAATTGAGTTTCTGAAACTGAAGTTTCCCATGGGGTCCCCAGTGACCCCTGCAGGGCCTTTCCTGGAAGCCCACTCTGTTCTTTGATGTTTTTTTAGCTGTAACCTAAGTTCGGGAACATTCCTTCAGAAGAAAGAAGGGCAAGGCCCTTCCTGACCTGCAGGACAGACCCTGGGACCCCGGCTCTTCTGCAGAAGTCTGAGGCAGGGAGCTGTTGAAATCCTTGGCAAAATTTCAAAAAACTACTCACACAGCTGCTGCCAAGTGGCTATTCTGAGCTTTTGGGAGTAAGAGAGATACAACAGATCGTTAGAATTAATAATTCCAATAAGAAAAGGTTTCCAAACCTCATTTTTCATTTTTCCTTCTTTACCCAGGCAGCACAAAATAAATGCCTTAAGATTTCATGGAGGGGCTGGGGCTGGGGCTCAGTGGCAGAGCGCTCGCCTAGCGTGTGGGAGGCGCTGGGTTTGATCCTCAGCACCACATAAAGATAAATAAATAAAATAAAGGTATTGTGTCCATCTACAACTAAAAAAAAATTAAAATAAGTTTAAAGAAAAAAGATTTCATGGGAAAATAATCCTGTTTCCTGAAGCCAGAAGCCAAGCAGCAGCCCCCCCCAGAACACCCCCCCCCCCCGAGACTCGCCAAGACTATCAGGAGCCACCAGCGAGGTGGCTCTAGCTCTGCCCCTTACTCCCGCCACGCAGCAGGTCATGTTACATGAGCCTTGGACCCTGATGAGAACCACACAAGATGCTCACCGCGACTCCCACTTACAGACAGACGCAGACGATGCAGTCTGGAAAGGGGTGCTGTAGCCTCGTGTCACTCGGCTGGAGAACAGGAGCTGGGATTGCCCCAGGGGAGTGACTCCAGAGCCCTCGACTGCCCTCCGGTCAGCTCCTTCTGTCCCCTCTCCCTCCCCTCCTTCTTGTTTTGCAGATTTATTGAGGTATAATTTACCTACTAAACGGCGACCCACTATAAGTATACAAGTCAATGATCGCCATGGTCTAATTTTAGACCACGTCCATCACCCCAGGCTCCTTCTTTGCAGGGACAGTCCATCTGTACTCCTAGCCCCGCCCCAGATGATACTACTCTGCTTTCTAAAGATTTGTTCTTTCTGGACATTTGACATAAATGGAACACACAATGTAGTCTTTTGCATCTGGCTTACCTGACTCAACATGCTGATTTTAAGGTTCACCCATGAACCTTAAAAAAAAGTGTATCAATACTTTGCCCCTTTTTATTGCTCAGTAGTATTCCATTGGGTGGCTACACCACATGTTGATTGTCAATTCATCATTTGATGGACAATTGGGTTGAGTCCACTTTTTAAAAAAAATTTTTTTTTGTCAATGGATCTTTATTTATATGTGGTGCTGAGAATCGAACCCTGTGCCTCACACATGCCAGGCAAGTGCTCTACCACTGAGCCACGTCCCCAGCCCCTGAGTCCACTTTTTGATTAGTTGATATAAAGTTGCTGTGGATACTCATGTACAAGTCTTTGTGAGGACATTTTCATTTTTCTTGGCTCTATGCCTACGAGTGTAGTTGCTAAGATCTATGGTAACTAACTTTTTGAAGGACTTTGAGGAACTATTCTCTAAAGTGGATGTGCCATTTTACATTCCCACCAGTAACCCGAGGGTTCTAGTGCCTCCAATTCCCGACCAACGTTTGTCATGTCATTCCTTTTGATCAGAGCCATCTAGTGGTGGAAAGTGGGAGGTGCCTTGGGGAGTTCTGATCTGCGCTTCCCCAGCAGTGAAGATGCTGAGCGTTTTCATTACTTACTGATCCTTCATGCGCCTTCTCTGGGAGATGCTGTTCCTACTTTTAATCATTTCTCTGTCTCTGTCTCTGTGTCTCTCACCAGTGTAACTAAAGCCTTGCCACTTTTGTTCTTTTCAGAGAGCCAACGTTTGGTCTCATGGATTCTTTTGGACTGTCCCTCTGCCTTCCATCTCACGGATTTCCTCTCTGGCTTACTGGATTCCTGACTTCTTGCTTGGCATTCGGTTTGCTTGTGTTTTGTCTTCAGATGGAAGCGTTGGCTCTTCTCTGTGCTCCATCAGACCTCAGTTGGACCCTCAGAGAGGGAAGAGCTGGTGTCGAGGGCGGCCCTGTCTGTAGAAGGTCTCCACCTTCAGAGCAGCCTGAGGGGGGCAGCCCAGGCAGGACGAGCAGGCCCCACGGTGTTACCTGACCTGCAGTCGTTTCCCCTGAATACGGGCCACTCCTCAACGCTGCCGAGTCCCAGAACCATGAAATGGCTGTTTCTGAAACTTTTGCTTCATATGGAAGGAGTCTGTCCAGTGGGTCATTTCTGCTTTGCCAAGGTCCTGCCTCTCCAGTCCCTCTTCTTTCTTTCACAGTAAACCAAGTTCATTTCCTCTGTCCCCAAATCTAGCGCTCTCATGGAACCTATGCCCAGGATTTAGAAATGGGGCCCAGCCGGTTCTAGAAATACCGCTCTGGGATTATCAACCTCTGCGACCGTCAGTCCTCCTCCACTTCCTCAGTGCCAAGGAGGACAGAAGGAGACTGCGTCTAGAATCTGCATTTGCAACAGAGAACCCCAGTGTTTCGGTCACTTCCAGGGCAGGAAACCTGTCCCTGATCTGGATTTGGCAGCTGCTCCCTTTGCTCTCTGGGGGGCAGCAGGAAGTCACGTGCCCTCAGCGCAGTGGCTGGGCTCGTGCACTGCGCAGAGCTACTTGCTGGTGGAGTGTGGCATAGACTAGGCATCTCGTTCTGCCCCTGGAAGGAAACCAGCCTGATCTCCCTCTGCCCAGTGATGGAAGGAGCTGGGAAGAACAAGGGCAGGGACCTGGAGACCTGGGTTCTAGGCTCCAGCTCTGCCACTCGTTCAAGCCCTTCTTTGGGGCTTTGTTTCCTTATTTATAAAATGGGTGCAATAATGTCATCCTCACGAGGTTGCCTGATGGGAAAACAATGCGGGGTGGCCATAATGGGCTTCAAGACTGACGACAGTGCTATCACAGGTGAGGCTGTGTGTGAATTGGCGAGCCTCATCCTGAGCCCCAAGGCTGAGCAGCTAGGAAGGAAACTGCCTTCCTCATGGCTGCTTCTTCCTTTCCCCTTCTCTCCTCAGGTCACAAGAAGGCTGCATATCAGCAGATGTCAGCATGTGCTTCCACGATTGACTACTGCTCTATTCCCAGATGACAGGGATGAAAGATGAGGCCAGGGACTGAGGGAAGGACACAGCTGTGCTTTGGCATTTGGGGAATAGTAAGACCAGAGTGGACACTTTCTAGTAAGAGCCACACTTCAAATCTGCTTACACCATAAATGAGAGGATCTCGCCAGCTTTTGTAGAGGCTGCAAAGGGAGATCCATGGAACAGGATGGAAACATCTCTGCCAAGTGGTTTCTCAGGCCTTTGTGTTCATGCTGAGGGATCCCAGTCCCTCTGCCACCCAGGTTAAACCGACTAACACTCAACAGCAAAGCCAGAGTCACAAGTGCAGATTTTAAGAGCATTAAATAGCAAGAAAAAGCACTCTTTTTAATTAATAAAAAAAAAAAAGACTTCAAGAGTCTATTGTGTGAGCCATTAGGATCTGTTTAAATACCTCCAAAATGGATTAGTGTAGACATTTTAACCTCAGGCTTTAATTTCTAAGGAAAAAGAGTCATTCATCTCAATAAACATCACAAGTATATATTGTTCTTGGGCCTAATAAGGGAAGTGCTGGGTCCCAGGAGGGATACACAGGACAGCAGGCTGAGGAGACTTTGTTAGGAACTAGCTGAGCCACAATGACCGCCACTGCAGATCTGTCACCTCCGAGGCTGGTCATGAGAGCAGAACTGGACCCGGGGCTTCAAAGAAAGACCTGGAACCGTGCTCGCGGGTGGGCCTTGCACAGCCCCGGTGCCACCAGCCTCGGCCTCAACACTCCCCACCCAGCCTCCGCCCCACCTCACATCCCACCTCCCATCTGCTCATGCCTGACCCCTCACGCTCGCTCCTCCCACTGGCCAGCGCCCTGCCCCTCCTGCATGGGCACCTCAGCCTGTCCTGCCCACTGGGGTGGCACAGGCGGGAGGCCACCAGAGCCAAGGGCTTGCAGGATTACCTATTTGTCTTTCCAGGTCAGCGGCCTCATCCGGCGTGGCTCGTGGGAGGACTCCAGGGTCACTGAAGCTGGTGCGAAGCAGGGTCCCCATCACAAAGAAGAAGAGGATGCCACCGACCACGGGGATGGCGGGGGTGATCTTCACCGCTAGGTACGGACAGCTGCCAGGGGCGGGGCAGGGGGAGGAGAAGAAAGGGAACGCAGTGTTAGATGGGCAGTGAGCGGGCACCCCCTTCTAGGACGCCAAGACTTCCCGGAGGAGTGACACTGGTTCCTTAGAAACTAAGAAGTTACACGTAGGGGACTCTGCCACTCGCTCTTGTGGACGAGCGGACCCTCCTTCCCCAGGGGGGACGGCCGCACCCTCTGCTCCCCCAGGAGAGCAGCTGGCAGAGGCTGGAGATGGTCCTGTTGGCACAACCAGCCTGGGATGTGCAGGGCTGTGTACATGCCCACGGGCCCCTTGCACTGTACACACCAGGTGTTTACAGCCTGCGGTGCCCACTGGCCCTTGGACTCACATGACAGAAGACATGAGTTAGAACCGTCGGCATCAGAACCAGCCTTCCCTGCTCGGGTCCAACAACTCGGGCATTCTGCCAGCACAAGACCTCGAGGACCTCGAGTTCATTTGCAAAAACCAAGAAACCATTTTTCAATATTTTTTGGAGGTAATCTCTCCAAAAGAGGCTAAGGAGCTAAGGACATGAACCTGCAGGGGAGTCTCTGAAGAGGCTTGAAGGGATTTCAGTGGCTAAACCACACTAATTCCAAAAGGCATTTGAGCTACCAATAGATGAACAATTCTTTTCATTCTTTATGTAGTTGGTTGATTTTTTTTTTTTTTTTTTTTTTTTTTGGTACTAAGGATTGAACTCAAGGGTGCTCAGCCAGAGCCCCATCCCCACAGCTTTTTATTTTTTTATTTTGAGACAGGGTCTTGCTAAGTTGCTTAGGGCCTCACTAAGTTGCTGAGGCTGGCCTTGAACTCGCAATCCCCCTGCCTCAGCCTCCAGAGCCACTGGGATTACTGGCATGTGCCATCACACCCTGCTGTTAAGAGACGGGGCCTTGCTCTGTTGCCTGGGCTGTTCTCCAACTTTGGACTCTAGTGATCCTCCCACCCCAGCCTCCCGAGTAGCTGGCACTACAGGTGTGCCCCTCTGCTAACCCTGAACTCTGTGGTGAGCCGGGTGATGTGCCTCTGAACGGGCTAAAGCCTGCCCCAGGCCAGCCTGGGAGCTGGCATTGCCTCAGCTCAAGGTATTTAGGAGCTGGGCAGGTCTGAGCATTAGGCCTGGCTCAGGTCATGGCTCCTGGACTTCATGGAGGGGGAGGTAGACCTGAAAGTCGACACAGCACCCAAAGCTAAGTGAAGAAGGGCTCTGGCATGACCATGGTCAGTCTCTTGTCACCACGTTGGGTGACACCATAGGTACAGAAAAACATGATGTCGCCTCCTCAGAGGTCCTTACAGCTGCTCGAGGTGGCCAACAGCAGGAGGTGCAGGACCTCACTGTTCTCTGCTCAGGACTCGGAGGTGGACGGGGGCTTGGTTCTGGAAGCTATGGGACCAGCGCCCCACGCTTGCTCCAACAAGACATCAAGGGAGGCTGGCACAAGTCGGGGCTCGAGGACCACAAGCCAAGAGCCCCTTTTCTGAGACCACAACAGAAAATCTGGCCCACCAGCCTTGGGGACATACATGCTGCTAAGTGGACAGTGACTGAAATGAGGCCAAAGGCCTTTGTCTATCCTTAGTCCTGCAGAAGTTCAGCGACGTCCCCATGACTTTAAGAAGGTAGAGACTGACCCCAAATGTAACTAGGTGGACAGCCGTCCCCAGGAGGACCACCAGATAGAAGCACAAAGCTACAGCATTTCCATCCTCGCTGTCCCTGCTCCCACACCAACCACCTTGCAGAAGCAGAACAAAGCAAAACCACCAGGAATCAACATGGTGGACGGCCAGGTGAGGCGTCTCTCCACAGGCTTCTTGGGAAACCAGAACACACGAATAGCTGCCATTCTCACCTCCAGGTAGCCCACCCAGACCCTCGATGTGGACCTTCCTGCACCCTCATAGAGCCTCATGGGAAAGAGAAGTCAGCCAGGAGAGTGATAAGACCCGAGAGCTTGCTGTAGGAAAGAGGAACGATGAAAGTCTGACCTAAAGAGCTCCCTGCTGTCCTGCAGATGTGTCCCCCAAACTTCACAGGTGGGAGACTTAATCCCCAAAGCAGCCGTGTGAGAGGTGGAGTCTTTAAGAAGTAATTAGGTCACCAGGGCTCAGCTCTCACCAGTGGATGCGTGTCACCAGCCCAGGCCCTTGCCAGATGTGGGCCCTTGACCCTGGACTTCCCAGTCTCCAGAACTGTCAGAAATAAATCTCTGCTCTCTTTTAGTTACGTAGCCTCAGGCATTCTATTATCGCAGCACAAAATGAACGTCCTCTGGAAAAGTGTCCACTCACGTTAGGGGAAATTTTCTTTAATCCAACTGATATTGTTTTGTATAAAAGGGAATCACTGTTTTTCCTTGGAAGTTTCTAGCTAATTCTCTTTAACAGGCTTCAGTCTTTTCTAAACCATTTGATTTTATGCTTTTAAGTGCTGAAAAGCTTCAAGTTAAATACTGAAGAGAGAGGGACACATCATCAGGCAAATAGCACTCTGTTTATACTCCTGGACCCGTAGAGGAAATCTTTTCCTGCAACAGAGATCTCTGGAATTCTAAAAGATGGCGCCATGCTGTGGTGTGGGCCTAGGCTCCGGGATCGGACACAGAACTTGCAATTCAATTGGAGGCATGTGGAGAATAGAAAATCTCTTCAGGGAATGACCATTTTCCTTTTAGAGATTCAATATAAAGTGACAATCAAAATCTACTTAATGATGTGTTGAACTCAGAATCCTACACTGGTGAGGGTTACGACTCTGTATAGCATGTAGGACGGCAGGCTGTAGAGACAGCACCTCTTCAGGGCAAGGCTAGTGTGCTAATGGGGCACATTCCACAAAGGGTTGGTGATAAGTGTCAACTGCTGCCGGTCTGGTGTCTCAGCCTCTGACTGAGATATCAGCCTGGGGTTAATCTAAACCCAGACTCCAGGAGCTCATTAAAGGAACTGCATTGTGACATATGATAGGACATTAGCTTTGTTGCTCTTATTGTCGTGTCAGAAGCAGCCTCACATTCTATTAAGCCTTGAAAAATGTGCTAGTCTATCACAATCAGAAATAAACAACCCATGTCAAGTTTGGGCAAAGCAATAGGCCAATGTCAAATTTGCTGACATTGATAATGTGCACCATAGTTATGTGAGAGGCCCCTCTTCTGAGGACCTACACTGAAGTATTCAGGAGTACAGTGCCACGAGAAAAATACTGAGTAGAGAGAGAAAAATGGGATAAATATTCACAGCAGGTGCTGGGTAAAGGGTATGTGCATGTTCTTTGTACTATTACTATGATTGCAACTTTTCTGTGAGTTTGAAATTAATCCAAATAAAAATTAAAAGAAACACAAACCATATTGAAAACATGAAATTAACCTTGGTACTAAACAACAGATTTTATGTTACATGCATTAGCCCTCACCTGCATACGTACATAAATGTCTATAGGTGTTATGGGTATGAGGTGTTGTCCCCAAAAGCTCCTGTTAATGCAGGAGTGATCAGAGGTGAAACGATTGGACTGTGAGAGCTGTCACCTGATCAGTTCATCCCTGTTTTAATGGACTGACTTGGAGGTACCTGTTGGCAGGTGGGGTGTGGCTGGAGGACAGGGGTCGCTGAGGAGGTGCCCTGGAAGGGTGCATCTTGCCTGTGGCCCCTTCCCCCACACTCCCTTCCTGACCCCACCGTGAGCTGAGCAGCCTTCCTCCGCTGGGCCCTTCCCCCACGAGTGCTGCCTCACTCAGGCAGGCCCACAGCAATGGAGTCGGCCACTCATGAACTGAGACCTCTGAACCCTGAGCCCAAATCGACTCTCCCTCCTCTAAGTTGTTCTTGTTAGGTATTTGGGTCACAGGAATGCACAAGCTGACTAACACAGGAGGAAATTCTTCTTTTGATATTTTCTAACATAATGGCTAGGTAAATGATTTGTGTAAAAGAGAATTTTCCAGAAAAACTCATAACTAGACATAATTTGAATAACGGCAGAGAATAAAACAGGCCCATGTCTTTTCTCTTTCTCATTATTAACGAATTTGAGTGAGAAAACATTGGCGCAGTGGACAGCCCTCCTTGGGCAGCTGGAGAGGTGAGCCAGACGGAGCCTGGTGGCAGGATGCACTCCCGGTCCAGGGTCTAGAGTTGTGACTTCTCCTCTCCGTTTCGCGCCTCCAAGGGGAGATACTTCAGAACGGTCAGCACCCTCCCGTGAGGGTGGCTTAGTAGATCTCAGGTTTGGGCATGTTCGTTTTTCCCTTTTGGGGTCTGAAATGTACCTGCCTGTGCCAAGTCACAGAGGTGGCCTCTGTAAGGCCAGCAGTGGTAATGAGTCCCCCTGGCTTGAACTGTCCCTGTGTGCTGCAGGTAGGGCTGCCGTCTTCAACGGCTACCCCACTAATGGCCATGACGATGCTCTAGAGGCCTTTCCTGGCCTCCCCTGGTGAACGGCTGACACTCAGCAATTAGAGGTCACTGGCTTTAACTAAGGTTTCTGTCCCCTGGCACATTTTCACCCTGGAGACAGTGCATCGTGGTTTAAGTTATTTGCACTTGAGCGCACATTCATCCCTTCAGTCCTGTTCCTGGAGAGCAGGGAGAGGAAGAGGAGAGGTGACCTGCAGGGGTTCCTTCTGCAGCTGGTTGTTGAACAGGTGGCACGAGTTCAAGCAGACGTCCCTGTCTCCCCGGCAGCCTGCTCCTGCTCTGTGTGAAGACTCAGCCAGGCCTCAGAGCTCCTGATCATAATGGGAAGGTACAGGAGTCCTCCGCCCCTTCAAGCAGCAGGCATTCAAGTAAATAAGAGTGCAGTCGCAATGGAGACTTCTAACTGGACTTTAAGTTGAGCCCCCTCCATTCCCTAGCTGGCCAGCTGCAGTTCCTGGCCCCTCCCTGGCTGGAGGACAAAGCAGATGGCGTGGATAGGGAGGCAGGAAGGTCCCCATTGGAACAGTTCTGTCACAAGGTGACTTTGCATGCTCTAGT